AGTAATTGGGAACCCTTTTGAAAAGTAGAATTCTAAAATTAGTTGAATTTAAGTGCTAACTATTTATAGATTTGTTTATAACGAACAACTTCACCCATTTTCTTACATGGTCCTTATGAGGCAGGCAGAGTATTTACAATCCCTTCACTTTACAAATGACCAAACTGAGCTTTAGAGAACTTCATTGGGTGGCCTGAGGTCAAAATTAGAGGGAGCCTGTATCTGATGAAGAGTCATTCGTAATTGGATTCAATTCCTGGTGCTGATGTGTGACCTTAGGGAAATTAACACCTCTTTACCTCAGTGCCCTCATTTGTGGAGTCAGGGTAATGGTAACACTAACCTTCCAGAGGTGTTGTCAACCTTTAAATGAGATTTATGGCCTTCGTACATATCAGTGAGGTGTGTCTAAGACATGTGTCCTGAGTTGGTATATGTAAACTGCTTAGCACAAAGGCTAGTTCAGAGCAAGGCAGTGATTATTAAAAAGATAGTTAATGGGGATTCTCTGGTGGCGCAGTGGTTGGAAGTCCGCCTGCTGATGCAGGGGACACGGGTTCGTGCCCCGGTCCGGGAGGATCCCACGTGCCGCGGAGCGGCTGGGCCCGTGAGCCATGGCCGCTGGGCCTGCGCGTCCGGAGCCTGTGCTCCGCAATGGGAGAGGCCACAACAGTGAGAGGCCCGCGTACCAAAAAAAAAAAAAAAAAGATAGTTAATGATAAAATTAAAACAGAAGCTAATTCTTTAGGCCTTGTATTCTGCAATGCCTTCTAGTAAAAGGAATAGTTAGTTAGTATCAGTTTTAACAAAAAAATTCAATTTTGTGTATTACCCGTAAAGATGGTCAGATGCAATGGTAAGAACAGAAAGCCCACATTTGATTATTAAAATGGTTATTTATTACCAGTGTCATTTAAATGTCTGTTTTGCTTATCTAATTCTGTGTAACAAAATTCCCCCAAGTTAGTAGCATAAAGCAACCCTGTATTATACTCCTCATTTCTGTAGGTAAGGGTTTCAGGCCAGGCACCCAGGACAAGGTCACCTTTAGCTGCTGTATGTGTAAATTTAACCATTATATGTCAAATAATTATCTGCAGGGACTGACACCTTGTGGGTACTGGACATGTACTGTCTTCGAGGCAGCAGACTTGGTTCTAGTTGCTCCTATTGTCGCCCAGTTTGGGCAAGTTACTTATTCTCACTCGCCCTAAATAGCCACAACCATCGAGTAACCACCTTGAACGAATTTACAAGGCTCCTTCAAAATCATAGAAAAGCATTGATTTACTGACTTTGGTTTTTTTGTTATACCCCTCTGTAACTCCAAGTATACGTGTTAAAACGCACATTTATCGAGTGTCTGTAGTGTAAATGCTTGGATAGATGAAGAATGTCCGTAAAGGAAAAACTTCTGTTGAATACTCTAGGAAGAAAAAGAGAAAACCCCTCTTGTAAGCACAACTCTGTACGGCACTCAGACTTTTTAATATTGCAACATGCATCGTACATCTATCTACAGAATCATAGTGCCTTATCTCCTGTGTCTCTGGGACATCATTAAAGTGCTTCATTGGTTACCATTCTGATTTTATCTATGTCCTGGGCTTCTCCATTCTTGCCCTTTTAAGGTCCTCCTCTGGCCAGTTACAGCACCTCTGGGCCCCAGCCCAAAGTCTCCTTAATGGGTAAACATTATGTTCCCATATAAGAGGGATGAGACTGAATCTTTGTAGGCAGCCCTGCTCGGGAAACCATCTGTTAGGTGCGGGCGTTCTGCACTTCAGGAAAGTCCCCGAACGATACTAAATTCTATCCTTGCAGAGAGGAGTCTGCCTGCTTAGATATGTGAAGAGGTTTATATGCATCACCTTATTGAATCCTCAAACAACCTTGTCAGATGAGGAATGTGAGACATGGAAGGGCTAAGTCAACGGCCTGAGGTGAAGAATCTAGCAAGGGGCGAGGCAGGAGCTGCCTTAACTGCTGGAGCACAGATCTGGGCAGTGGAGTGCGGGCTTGCACGGGGATGATTTGGGTACCTGGTGGCCTCTTCAAGGCTGGTCTCATGCAGCGTGCGCAGTTGGGGCACGTGTTTGGGGTGGGGAGGCATGAAGAACTACAGAGTGTTTAAAAGAAAACATAGCAGAGCTTGGCAGCAAATGGAAAAGGAGAGGAAGAAAGGGGAGAATAAAGTTACTACACGTTAAAACCTGCTGTGGGGAAATACACGTTACTGATTTGACTGAGGAGTCTCACTTCCTTGAGGTATAAATAGGATTCTTTCCCCCCCCAAACTACTACCAACGGTGCCCTCTTCAACCAGCCTTTCCTGCTGGTGACAGGTTCCTTTACCAACGTCTCAGGCCGAATCAATGCCTTTTCCGTCAGTTTTGGTGTTAACAGTCTTATTTCAGTTGCTCTCCAGGCCAGCTTCCTGGGCTGTGGGCAGGGCTGGTGCGGCCACCGGGGACCCTGATCTCAGAGGGGCCCTGGGCTTGCAGTTGAATGCTCTGCACTTGCCATCTTGACATTCTTAGTAATGTCGTCTCTGGATACGTACTTGTAAGTCTGATGGGACAAGGTACCCGGGGGCTTTGGAGCCTCAGCCCCGTGTGGAAGACCTTCTGCCACCACCCTCACCCCCTACAGCCTCAGAGCCCTACAGAAATACTCCCCTTCCTGCCACTAGCCAGTGATGGCTGCTGCCTGTCCCCAGGGGGCCCGGGAGGAGTCGCACAGCCCAGGGCCTCCATGTGGGGCACAGGTGCCAGGCCCCGTGGTGGGCAACACAGGCTGGGTGAGCCTCTGACCCACTCCCAACCCGGATACCAGCACTGAGGGTGCAACACCGCTCAGCACACATGTCTCCTGGGAAGGGGAGCCTGGGGGCTGTTAGGCCCGAGTGCAACCTGTAGCCCATTTGGGCTCCTGGAACTCATGAGGGTCCTCACTTGGCCTGTGATGGTCCCTGTGCTTGAGGAAGAGTGACATTAAATAGGAATAAAAAAACTCCATGACAGGTTGAGAGGCCATGGATGAAAGGCAAAAGCTTTGAATTTTAGTACTTTTAAGGGTGATGTTTCTTGCTTTTTAAACAAGGAGCCTCACATTTTCATTTTGCATTGGACCCTGAAAATTATGTAGTCAGTTTGGGTTATTTATGTATTTATTTTTTTATTGGACTCCAGTTGATTTACAGTGTTGTGTTAGTTTCAGGTGTACAGCAGAGTGAATCAGTTGTACATATACACATATCCATTCTTTTTCAGATTCTTTTCCCATATAGGTTATTACAGAATATTCAGTAGAGTTCCCTGTGCTATACAGTAAGTCTATTACATTTTAATCATCTTATCCTTTTACAAACTCTAATCTCATATTCAACTGAGCATGCTCCTACTGCCTCTCCCCTGCTCTCCCCCCCCCCCCCCGCCCCCTGCTTGTTCCTCCAGGGTGGTGAAGGCGCAGGATGGCTCTGGGGACTTGGGGACGTGACAGCCCCATGGCAGGGATGGGAGGATGCTGCTTGTTTTCTGTCGTTCATCATAATTGCTGTAGCAACTTGTCTCCAGAGGCCCTCCCGATCTGCTGCTAAGGGACTCAATCCCAAGGAGCTTTTCTAAGTAACGGTGGTCTCTCCTGGGACCTGGCTACCACTGCTGCTGACTTCTAGTTGATAGCTGCACTCAGCGTTCGTGTGAGGAGGGTGGGACCCTGCGGACCCACCCTGACCCCAACCTATCCTCTGTGGTCCTGATTCTGGAGCCTCGGGGCTCAGGTAGGTACCATGCCGTGTATCTGGGTAGTTCTTGGCCCTTCTCTGCTCGTTTTCCCCTGAGCTCTGTTGGCACTGGGACCAGTTGGCCATTCTGGTGACTCAGAGGACATCCAACTGGGGAACAAAGTACCACTGTCACCATCTCTCAGTTACACAAAAACTTCAAGACACATCTCTCTTCTTGAACTTAGACCTTAGTTTCTGAGACACAAATCAGTCCACAAAAGGGATGTTAAATGGAAGAGAGTGGCCTCTCCTTACAAACACGGCGTTTCTCCCCTAATCTCCAGACAGCCCAGATCATCCTCTCTTGCCCAAGGGGGCAGAGTGAGCAGGGGGCTCCTTGTAGGAACTGAGCCCACTTTGGACTCAAATTTATTATCTCTGCTTCCAACAGAACGCTGACTTCACTCCAATCCCTGCGGTCATTTGGTAATCCCTTAGGGCAGGAAAAGATCTTAATTACCAGAACTCACAAAGTCCTGTCATCCACATGAAGACACATCATTTCACAAGCTCGGCAATGAGTATATGTGTCAACATCATTAATCAATATTTACTTGGTAGTATCTGTCACGTGCCTACCGTGATGATATATGTGAGATGCTGAAAGAACGGTCTAGGCAACAAGAATTGTGTTAAGTGCGAGAGGAGAGATTCCAGTGGCCAGGAGGGTCTGGGAGGATGTAGAGCAAGGAGGACTTAGGACACAGTAGGGCCTTGAGGGGTGTGTAGGATTTAGAGAAGCCAAGGAAGGAGGGAGTAGATAAGCAAAAGCATAGAGTTTGGATTGTCTGTGGTATTTGAGGAATATTCCACAATACACAGAACCTTTGTCCATCTTTTCCTGAAGAACTCCCAGCCCCTTCCCAGGGGTAGTCTTGCCCTGGGAGCCATTCATGCTGTAGGTGACCATCGGGGACGCAGTGGTGGGTGTTGCTCATTTTATTTTAATTAATTAATTAACTTATATAAATTTATTTATTATTTTTGGCTGCCTTGGGTCTTCGTTGCTGCCCACGGGCTTTCTCTAACTGTGGCGAGCGGGGGCTACTCTTCGTTGTGGTGCGCGGGCTTCTCATTGCAGTGGCTTCTCTTGTTGCAGAGCATGGGCTCTAGGTGCTGGTGCTTCAGTAGTTGTGGTGCGTGGGCTCAGTAGTTGTGGCTCACGGGCTCTAGAGCACAGGCTCAGTAGTTGTGGTGCACGGACTCAGCCGCTCCGCAGCACGTGGGATCTTCCCGGACCAGGACTCGAACCCATGTGCCCTGCATTGGCAGGCGGATTCTTAACCACTGCGCCACCAGGGAAGCCCAGGTGTTGCTCATTTTAGGCTGCTACGCTGATGGGGTTTCTGCCAAACCCTGCAGCCCGGCCTTTGGCATTCAACGCCAGGGCCTCCAAGTGAGCAAGACAGAAGGATGATCTGTCTTCACCAGCAGCAGGTAGCTAGGGGGCCAGCCACAGCCCTCCACAGGCATGGAGACGTTCAGATGCACAGATGCAAAGATAAACACTGGTTCTCAGATACAGTGAGATCCGGATACAGTGCCAGCCAGCCTGGAAAGTCCTATGGAAGCCCCACCATGGGAGCCCTGAGTCCCTGCTGATCATCTACTACAGGAGGCCAGGAACTTGTTCAGGAAATAAAATCATTTTTCCTCAAGCCAGATTATCTGTCTTAGGACAGGCTCCCTAGAGGCAGAGCTTGAGGCAGGGATGGGGTTCCCGTGATCTGTGGAGGGTCAGCCCTTCAGGAGAAAGCTGTCAGAGACCGAGGGAAGGAGGGTCGAGGAGGGATGGAACCGGGAAGGATGTGATCGAAGGTAAAGTCTGGCGCCGGCCCCATGGTGGAGGAGGGGAGTGGGGGTGTGCCGTGGGGATGGTGGGACTGGGCTCTGAAAAGTGGTCCTTCCTTGAGATCAGGGGCTATGTTTCTGTAGCCTGGATCAGACGGGGGCTGCGGGCTCTGGTGGGAGGAGAGAAGAGACTTAACTCCTAGGTTGGCTCTGGCCAGGAGGGAGCTTGGAGAAGCGGAGTAGCATGAACTGTTAGCAGCCAACATTCCTAGCAGCCGAGTAATGGGTGTAGACGCCCAGGAAAGTCCATCTGGGCAGAACTAGGCAAGTGCCCCACAGTGTTTACCACAATATCAGGACAGGGACTTATTATTGTTAAGTAGTTCAGTGTCACTCTTCACCCTACCTGCCTCCCTGGACCCAGATAGGGCCCCAAACCCACCTGCACAAGAAATCAGGGCCCATCACAAAGCTTTTTCTTGGTAGCAGCACAGAGAAGTGGCCAAAGCCTTGACACTGTGTTTTTCTTCCTTTCCATCAGGTGATGGCTCTCCTAGGTAGGGCAGGAGGTCCCGGTGCCATTCTCTGTAAACCAAGCAAGGTAATTGCCGTCAGTACAAAACAGCCCTGGGGGCAGGAATTGAGAAAGGTGTGTGTAGGTTTCCTCTTTTCCAGTTACACAAGGAAGTAACTTTGGCTTTGAAGTTGCAATATCTATGATTTACTGGCATTTGGAGAATAGATTCATACTGAATCACTTTTATAGCATCAGAACAGCATATGCTTCCTCATTAAGTGGAAAAACAAACTGGAGAGAAGAGACTTAACTCCTAGGCCTGGCTCTGGATTTTAGTCTCCCAGATTTTCTTACTGTAATTGAACCACGAAGCTTTTAAGTGTAAAAAGAAATGGAATGATACAGTTTTAAATTCTTATCAGTTCTGATGGGAAATGGTGGCTTTTGTAGAGTGGGTGGAAGTGAAATGGGGAAGGAGTATGACAGGAATGAATTTGTCCAGATAAAGAAAAAAGAATAACAGTCTCATGTTAAAACAATTTTTCAACAAAACATTTGGCTTAAAATTTACTTAAATTTCTGATGTAGTTCACTTTTAGAATTTTACATACACAGACTTATGAAATGGGGATCATAGTGTACAGTTTGTAACCTGTATTTTAATTAATAATGAATATTATAAGTTATACAAATATATATATTTTTCTAAAACACATTTTTAAATGGATAGCCTTCCATTTTATGAATGTGTCATAATGTGTTTAATTGATCTTCTGTTGAACATTTAATTTATTTCTGGGGCAGTGACATTTTGATTTTAATTATGCACAGTGCCAAAACAGTATCACAGATAAATAGGCTGGATTCATGTTGTTTGGTCACAGGATTTCCTTTGTCATTGAATAAAATTTGTAAAAGTACTTTTGCATTTCAGAACAAATTTACTAAGTGGTTATCTTCTTGATGAAATGCCTCATGTGATGGAGACCAGTGCAATTTAGAAGCACAAGTTTATTTAAAAATTATCCAACAAATACGTACTTCCACAAGCAGAATTTTCCATTCCAAGACTTCTGAGGTAAAGGGGAAATTGGTATAATCCTTACTGCCACAGTAAAATTAAAATCATGCTGCAATAAAGTCCTTATACTGAGCAGTTAGTGGCTCCTGGGAAATGATTTTTAATTAGAAAAAAACCAACAAATGACATTGAATCACTAGCTTTTTTTGGCATGTCATTCATTACTAAGGAAATATGAGAAAGACCACTCGGTTTGAAAGTCAAAACAAACCACACCATTGTTCAAGTCCTCTGGTTTTCGAGGGCCTAAGATGTGTCCCAGCTCTGGTGTTCCAGTTGTGGTGTCTTGTAAGTAAGTTCTTGCCTATTAATTGAGTAGGGGGCCACTGCACAATCTCTATGGTCCCTTTTGTTCTAAGAACAGAAATTCTAAGAATAGAAAGATGCAGAAATTCACACAGAGTTAGGCCCAGAGCCAGGGATATTGCCTTCTTATGATTCTGAGCTCTGCAGAACACCTACACACACACACACACACACACACACACACACACACACACGTACAGTTCCTTTAAAACAAAACATAAGAGACTTTGATTCCAAAGTCACCTACACCATTAACTAGCTGTCTTAGAGTTCACCTTTGTGTGTCAGTTTTTGCATCTATAAAGTAAGGGGTTAAACTAGAACAGATGGAGAGCCACAGACTTTTAGTGCTGGAAGGTACTGTCAACCTTTAAAACAGAAAGGTAAGCGGTTTAGCCAGCAACATGACGGCTATTTGGGTAGCAGAGGAATTGCAATTTGGGACATGCAAACTATGGCAAACCATGGACAAGTCCAGAGAACAAAGGTGAGCAGAATTTTTTGTTTTTATCAGCACAATCACCCTTTTGTTTTTGTTAATTTTTCTCACACCTCATTTATAGAGGAAAGGAGGAAGCTGGGGGTGGTGTTTAGAAGAGAGGAGAGTTCGGGGTTGTGGTGGCTTCTCATTGGCTGAGTTGCAGCGAATTCTCATTGGCTGGGTCGTCACTGGGTGAGGAGAAAATCTTCCTTTTTTCTGCTGGAGTAGTACCTGCCTGAGCGCCTCCCTCTTTAGGGTTTCCTGACTCCATTTTGAATGAGGTTTCCTTTTATTCATGTTCCTAGTCCTTTGTGGAATCAATGCAATCCTTTCTTTTTCCAAATAGGAAATCGAATGCTAGACGGGATCGGGGGATACAGAGAGTAGGGGTTACAGCTCAAGTTTATACCCAGATCGTTTAATAAGCACATCCAGTGTGCTCTCACATGATTACCAATCTCACAGCTATTTTGCTCTAAAATTTATGAATTCGTGATCATCCAAATGAGAGTTTATACTAAGAGTGAACATGATGACTAGGATCCTATAAATTTGTCATGTTTTGGGCAGGGGGACTGTTGCTCAAAATTGGCAGTCAGCTAACAAGCTTTGAGTGCCCTTTGAACACAGGTTGTTTTGCTCTTCATCCAGAGAGAATAAATTTAAACCATCATCTATCTTTCTTAAGTCCCTATCTGCCCGTTCTCAGACTCAGCCCTGTGGCTAAAAGCATGGCCAAAAATAGTAACACAGAAAAAACAGATACAAACAAGTAGTAACTTGGAGGGGGAGTGGGTAAAGCAAATGATCACAGAGCAGACTGTGCTATTTATTCGAGTCAACTCTTAAAATAGGGACAGGCATAATCTTGTGGACACAATCTTATTTTGAAATAAAGTACTTTCTATTCAAATATCAGCTGGCCTTGGGGCTAATGTTAATGCAGCTTTGCAACCAGTTACTTTGTAGATGACACAGTGTATCAGCAGATTTGCATGCAACTGTGACCCTGGTGAGGCTAACACTTGCTCCTTCTCTGGGAGGTAAGGCTTCAAGGGAGTCAACTTGCAGACAGTGGTACAGCCTTCCTCAGAGGCTGCCAGGTGGGAGGTGGAGAGGGTTCTCTGATCCCAGTCATTTTCCCTGACGTAGATGTTGTTGGGTGCATTAGGTGTTATTAGCAACTAGAGTCAACAGGACAACATAGGGGTGGGGATGTAAGAAATACGTAGCAAGCAGAGAACCAGAAGTCGCCGGGTCATGTAGAAATGCACTCCGGGTTCGGCCCCTGGCCAGGGGGTGGAGCTTCCTTTTCTGCTTGTTTCTTCATCACTGACATAGGCATTGCTAACTGTTCTTGAACATGTTTATTCAAGGAGTGAGAAAGTCGAATTACCCTACACCCCGAGTACTGATTACGGTTGAGCGTGAATTTTCCTCCAACCCACTCAAGGATGGGAAAGGTTAGTTGAGCAGACGATCACACTAGCTACCAAAACCTTCCTAGAGGAAATGGACCACCCCTTAGTTCTCTATATCATGATGCTATGGCAACATGCCAGAGAGGAGGGATCAATAAACTTTTTCTATGAAGAGCTAGTTAGGAAGTATTTTCAGCTTTGCAAGCCACACAGTCTTTGTTGAAACTGTACAACTCTGCTTTGCAGGCTGAGTGCAGCCGTAGACAACGAATAAATGAATGAGTGTGTCTGTGTTTCAACAATATTTAATTTACAAAAAGAGGGGCAGGATGAATTTATAGTTTGCCAACCTCTGCCAGAGAACGTAGACCTATCTTATATCTGTTATAGATGTGGGTGGTGCTATTTTCTGCTAGTTATTCATTTAGAAATCTTGGTGTTATCTTTGATTTCTTTTTCTCCTTTATTTTCCACATTTACTCATTAATCAGTGTAATTGATTCTCCCTTCTCAATAGCTTGTCTGTCGTCTCCTCCAAGGCCTTTTTTGACCAACTTATCTAAAGCAGGTTCAACCCATCTGTTTCCTGTCTCAGCGCACTGTGTATTATTTCCTTCATAGCTCTGGCTACAGCATGAAATTATCTCATTTATTTGCTTACTTGTTTATTATTTGTCTCCCACACTGGAATATTCTTGAGGGTAGGTTCTTTGTCTCTCTTCTTTACTGCCTGGCACAAGGCAGGTGCTTAGTGAATATTTGTTAAAGAGAAAGGACCGAGGGACTTCACTGGAGCCAAGTGGTTAAGACTTCACCTTCCAATGCTGGGGATGCAGGTTTGACCCCTGATTGGGGAGCTAAGATCCCGACATGCCTTGGGACAAAAAAACTGAAACATAAAACAGAAGCAATATTGTAACAAATTCAATAAAGACATTAAAAAAATGGTCTACATCCAAAAAAAAAATCTTATAAAAAATAAAGAGAAAGGACCCAGAAAAAGTCCCCTAGCCTCTAATTTCTCACATTCTGCATTTCATCTTTCATGTGAAATCTAGAGCTGTGACATCAGTCAAGGCCCAATAGGAAAAAGCTAACATGCTTAAAATAGAATAAATAAAGAGGGGATTAATACAGGGGCTGTGAAGCCACTATGGAGAACAGTATGGACGTTTCTTAAAAAACTAAAAGTAGAGCTACTGTATGATCCAACAATCCCACTCCTGGGCATATATCTGGAGAAAACCATAATTCGAAAAGATATATGTACCCCAATGTTCATCACAGCACTATTTACAATAGCCAAGACATGGAAGCAACCTAAATGACCATCGATAGAGGAATGGATAAAGAAGATGTGGTACATATATACAATGGAATATTACTCAGCCATTAAAAAGAATGAAATAATGCCATTTGCAGCAACATGGATGGACCTAGAGATTGTCATACTGAGTGAAGTAAGTCAGACAGAGAGAGACAAATACCATATGATATCGCTTATATGTGGATTCTTAAAAAAGGGTGCAAATGAACTTATCTACAAAATGGAAATAGAGTCACAGATGTAGAAAACAAACTTATGGTTACTGGGGTGTGGGGGGGTAAATTGGGAGATTGGGATTGACATATACACACTACTCTATATAAAATAGATAACTAATAAGGACCTGCTGTATAGCACAGAGAACTCTACTCAATACTCTGTAATGGCCTACATGGGAAAAGAATCTAAAAAAAGAGTGGATGTATGTATATGTATAACTGATTCACTTTGCTGTACACCTGATACTAACACAACATTGTACATCAACTATGCTCCAATAAAAATTAAAGGGGCTGTGAATAAAAGTGTGTGCACGTGACAGAAACAAAAAGGAATAGTGGGGCTGTTAACCGTCTATAGGTCTGAGATCGCAAGTCAAGGAGTTGTAACAAAAGCCTGAAATGAGAGGGTTCTGGGGAGAGATCCACCATCTCAGTCAGCTTGGGCTGCCATAACAGAATACCAATGACTGACTCAAACAAGAGAAGTTTTTTTCTCACAGTTTGGAGGCTGGGAAGTCTAAGATCAAGGTGCCAGGCACTCAGGTCTCTGGTAAAAACTCTCTCCTGGTTTGCAGATGGCCGCCTTCTTGCTGTGTCCTCATGCAGTGGAGACAGAGTAAGCCTTCCCGTTATCTCTTCTACAAGAATGCAAATCCCACCCTCCTTTAACCTTAATTTCTTCCTTATTCCAAATACAGTTGCATTGGGGGTTAGAGCTTCAACACACGAATTTGTGGGAACACGATTCAGGCCATAACACCCCCCCCGATGACCGGACCTGTCCCCTTTGGTCATGGAAGGCAGCCAGCCAGAGACAACACCCAGGATGGGAGCAGAGGAAGAAACACCCTCACCTCATTCTCATCCCTTCATTAGCTCTGCTCAGACTGTGAGAACCCAACCACGGCCCAGAAGGTGAGGGAGACAACTCATAAAATTTATAGTTAAAAGCCTCCTGGATTTGGAGTCGTACACAAGACCTCTGGTGCCCTCATCCCTTTGGCCTCTTGGCATCCACTCGTGTTTGTGAAAAAAGTTAGTGTCCCCATCGCAGAGGACACACGAATTCCCATCAGTTACTGAATCGTCAAGGGGTGATTTGGCTGAATTGTCAATCAGTCATGCCCGTGTCTGGAACTACAACATTAGTGATCACTGGGGTTTTTCATGCAAGGCAGCATAGGAAAAAAGGAAAAAAAAATCAAATGACACAAACTGTAGCTGATCCAGTCCCCACATCTGTAACTGGACTTAGCAGAGTTTGGTAATTAGTGCTTCTTTCCTCTACCACACAGTCATCTTATTTGAGGGTCTGTCTCTTGGAGTCATTTTTGTACTACAGGTTTCCCCTGCTATCTGAAAGTAGAGCATTCCTCTGAAACCTTTCGTAAACCAAAATGGCATAAAGCGAGGAAGAAGCAATTACCTTAAGACGTATCTTGCTAATGGATGCACAAAATAAATGGAGTTGAAGCACAGATGCTCACAGACACAGTTCAGAGCTGTGGCCGCTTGACGCTGAGAAACAGTGTGGTTCCCAGGGAAGGAGTTTGGTGGTGCCACTGTTGCTACCTGCAAAACAAATACTGAATGCTAGTTTTGCTTTTTGCCTTTTTTTGTAAAGGTGAAAATCCTCTCTGGATTTCTTTCGGTTAGCAAAAGCAGACACTAATGTAGGTCTTTTGAAAAAGCGAAGTGGCATAAAGCAAACTTTCAAAAAACAGGGGATACCTGTACTGTATTCATATATGCAGCAGGAACCATATGGCAACTCAGATTGATACGGAACAAGGTTCTCTGCCTTCCCCAATCAACAGAAATTGACTAGAGGTCAGACCAGAAATTCAGGCAAGGCTTTACTGGGGCTCCTGCTGCAGCAGTGGGGAGCTAAAACAAGTAACAGATTCCCTTGCTGACTCGCTCCCCGAAGGTGGGGGCAGCTGGTTCCTTATGCGGGGTGAGGGTAGGTGGGGGTGTGTCCAGGGGTCAGGCTGGAGGGGTGGCTTGGGTGTTTTGCCCACCCCTTTGGTGGTGTTGAGTGCAGAGGGCATGCACAGTACCCTGCTTTTGCTCCCAGCTCTTCAGAAGTGGCAGTTGGGGTGTTTTGGGGTCTTTTTGTGTCTTGTCCAGAATTTGCCCCAACTGCACATGCATGCCATTATTTTTAGTCCCTTATAGTTTCTTTGTACTTCATTGCTTGAGAAGATGTTTGTCCAGGTGCCAGCATTGTAGCACTGCGGCAAAGGGTCCCAGGTCCCAGCCTGTCTCATAACTGCTCAGGCTCCCAACTGGTCCAAACCACACAGAAGCCAGAAACCAAGAAAGTGTGTTGATGTGGTCCAGCCAGAGTGGCCTCTGGGGGCAGAGAACTAGGTTGAGAAAGGTGAGAGAGGGTCTTGAAGGGCAAACAAAAGATCTGGTGTATCATTATACTCTTGAAACACAAGTCAGATGATTCTTAAAACAAAATCTCACCTGTGATGGCTTTTTATTGCCACAAAATAAAAGCCAAAGGACTTAACATGATACCGAAATCCTCCCACAATCTCTCTTCATCACAGCTTTCCTGCTTTGACTTTCATCTCTTTCACAATCCATGTTGCTATTTGTACCACGCACTTTGTATTTTTGTTCTCCTTTGTAACTCACACCAGGAGGCAATTCTTCCTTGTCTGATCTTAAAACTCAGTTTAAAATTCTGTCCTTCTGAAGCTATATATTATAGTTCCTTCTTCTCTTCTCCCTCTATAGTTATTCCAGTTGTATTATCCTTCTCCTTAATGGAGCCCCTACTGTATTTATGGATTGTGTTAGGGGCATTGACTATATCATTAATTCTTATAGGAATCCAGCAACATGGCTATTCGGATTCCTTATTACAAATAAAGAATCTGAGCGCCAGAGTGATCTAGCTGTCACCATCTTACCCACTGAGGATAGCATAACTAGTGATGGAACAACCAGATGTAGGGAGCCTCCTGATGGGACGCATTGTGAGATACAGATCACCTCCCAGGAGGGATTCTTGCCAAAATGTTTAGCTTAAATCTAATCATGTCTTTAGATCTAACACCTGGTTTGTAGGGAATACGGGGAGTAGAGGACCATGGTAAAATAGTACCTGAAGAAACGGTCAGACAAAAGCATGAAATGGGACCTTCTGTAAGACAACTGGTCTACTTCCAGTCAGTGGTCAATTTTATGGAAAAAAAGGAAGATGGAGAACTCTTCTAGATGGAGACATAACAGATATAGAACAACCAAATACAATGTGTCATCTTTGATGGGGTCCTTATTTGCCCAAAGTCATAAAGCATGTAGCAGCAGAGTTGTAATTCAAGCTTATCGTTGTCGGAGCTGGTAGAGCATCTGTCTGTGCCCTGCCTGGATCCTCATGGCACTCAGTGTTCCCATCTCTACCAGCCCTTCTGTGTCAGAGGCTCTCTGCCTGGGGGCTGTCTCGTTGTGGGGAGGGGGCACTCCTGGGGCAGTCCAGAAGGGGTTGGAGAGTTAATGGCCCTGGGAGTAACCCTCAGCCAATAAAGGAGAAAGTTTGGAGACTAAACAACTCAGCTTCCTCTTTGGGGTGAAAAACTCTGAAGCGCGGTTTCCACCATTTCCCACTGGTCCTGGTGAAATTTATTCCCACTTACTCACAGAATCCATCTCCTCATTAGCACACCCTGCGTGGACTTCCTTCCCACCCTGACCCACTTCCCCACTGCACAGGCAGTGCTTCCTGAGATCACTTTCCAAATAAACCACAAACACTCAGCATCCTTTCCTCCAGGCCTGCTTCTGGGGTAGCCCAGTTTAAAACAGGTGTCCAAACTCCTGCTCTTTCCCCCAGACAACAGTGCTACCCTCACCCACCCAGTCCTGTGACACAGTTGGTGGCATAGTTCACAGAAGGGGACTAGGTTTTGCAGGCACCTAAACCCAGAGCCCACCCCTGGCTTCTCCTCTAGCTTATTGCCTGACCTCAGGCAACTGAAACTCTCTGAGTCTCCATATTCTCATGGGCAACATAGGTTAACGATAGGGAAGTTCCTCTATTTACGGGCTTTCAACCTGTGAACTCTCATAGGTGCAACGGATCTTGTGCCACTTGGTGACTTTTCTGGCACTAGGTTTATTGATGAGCTACGAACGTTTACAAAACTAGGTAATAATTGAAGTAACTCACCGTAAGACGCTAGTGATGCTTGAACAAGTTCATTTTGTACACATGGACTTAGCACAGCCTCCAGGAACGTGATGCACTGGTGAGTCAATGCGTTTCTGAGCCAGTCAGGGAATGACTGTCAAGATGACGTATCCAAGTAGAGGGCACAGCCTCACGTCTGACAAAAGAGCTGCCCAGTGATAAGAGCCTTTGTGGTCACATGTCTTTCTCTAGAGGGGGTGGAAGCAGTGTTTTCTTCATTTCAGAAATTTCCTTATAGTATTGTGCAAAAATGAATAAGACAAATTTTACATCCTGCAGCTTCTTTTTCAAAATATGTTTGCAAAATTCACAGTGTATCACCAGCAACACGCTGTACTGGATGCCCACTTACCAAATGCAACCTCGTTCATTTTCACAGCTTCCTCATAGCAAATTTTCTTCTTTCATTTCTCTGTCTCATTATCACATCATTGGGATTGTGTCAACCAATCTAGTGCTTTCATACCATCACTTATGAGAGTTTTCGTCTCCAGATTCTCAGCCTGTGGCTCTCACTGTTTAACAATCAGCTTGATCTACCTTGCCTCCTTAACACACTGGCATAACTTTTCCGTTTGAAAAATTGTTTTCCTGTTCATATTACTGATTTCATTTAGTTTTCAACTCTAGTAAGTGTAATAGGTATAGCGACTATTAGTATATTCACAACTACAAATTAGCTTTCTCTTGATAGCAATTTAATAATATTACTTAGTGACCTTGTCTGTTTAGCATTTCTTGTTCTTCGACAAATATAGATTATTAAGTTGCTCTTTTTACTCTTAAACTGCCTTCTTTTATTATTTCTCTCCTTTCATTAGGTTATTACCTGTATGAACATAATGGTCTCTTACTCTGTGGGTTTACATCTAGACCAATGCTGTCCAGTAGAAATTTCTAAGGTGATGGGAATGCTCTATATCTGGGCTCTCCAGTAGGGTAACCACCAGTCACATATGGCTGGAGAGCACTAGAAATGTGGCTAATGTGACTGAGGAACTGAAATTTTCACTTGATTTACATTTTTTTTTTTTTTTGAGGTACGCGGGCCTCTCACTGTTGTGGCCTCTCATGTTGAGGAGCACAGGCTCCGGACGCGCAGGCTCAGCGTCCATGGCTCACGGGCCCAGCCGCTCCGCGGCATGTGGGATCCTCCCGGACCGGGGCACGAACCCGTGTCCCCTGCATCGGCAGGCGGACTCTCAACCACTGCGCCACCAGGGAAGCCCGAGGTTAAATATTTTTGAGTCATCTCTTATCTGCTTTCTCCCCTCCTCTCAGAGCCTCCTTTCCCTAAGAGGTCCAGAGTCATCCTGTTTCTCCAGCCGACCATTTGCCGTGTCCCCTCCACCCCTCACTCTGGACGTCACCGCGCACCCCTCGAATCACTCACTTCCATGAAATGCTCAGAGTGGACAGGCTTCGTTGTCTCCTCCTGAAAGTGTGTGTCCACCAGGGCCACCCGGCGCTGCGGTGGGGAGGACAGGCCTGCGGCAGAAATGGTGCTGTGCTTCTCACCCACGTGCCGTGACCTGGGTCTGGGCGAGTCACGTCACCCCGTGTCCTCAACTATAATGTGGGGATAATAACAGCCTCTAGTCCATGGAGTTAATGTGAATATTAAATAAAACACCATACACAGAAGTGTTTCGTCTAGTGCTGGGTACACAGTAATTATCAAATAAGTGGGTTGTTGGTGGTGGGTTTTGTTTTTTGTTTTTTTAGGGGAAAATGGCTTATATGCTCTCATATGAATTTCTAAGGATAATATTGCAACAATGATAGACAGTTTGCGGAGAGATTCCTAATGCTCTTCACAGGGTCCTCTATACGTATATATTTGTTGACTGCATGAATAAAGGATGAATTACTTGCTTCCTCTGACAAACAGATGACCTGTTCTTGACATGTTCAAGGTTACCTGCTGAGTTGGTAGAGGCAGCAGTCAGAAGGCCAGCTTTAACTATTTGACTCTGTGCTCTCAAAAAGGTTTTTTTTTTTTAATTTAAAAAATTTATTTAATTTTGGCTGCATTGGGTCTTCATTGCTGTGCGCAGGTTTTCTCTAGTTGCGGCGAACAGGGGCTACTCTTCGTTGCGGTGCGCGGGCTTCTCATTGTCGTGACTTCTCTTGTTGCGGAGCACGGGCTCTAGGCGTGTGGGCTTCAGTAGTGTGGCACGTGGGCTTCAGTAGTTGTGGCACGTGTGGCTTGTGGGCTCTAGAGCGCAGGCTCAGTATCTGTGGCGCACGGGCTTAGTTGCTCCGCAGCATGTGGGATCTTCCCGGACCAGGGCTCTAACCTGTGTCCCTTACATTGGCAGGCAGATTCTCAACCACTGCGCCACCAGGGAAGCCCCTCAAAAAGATTTACTGTTCAAAATGAGCATAATATTGTCAATGGTAAGTGTAATTTGGCAGAGTGGGACTTTATGTTTCCAGTTTACATTATGCCTTGTTTGAATGTTTTATAAGCATAGATTATTTTTATAATAAGAAAAAGTAATTACGTATAATTATATTAATCAAGTACCTTGAATTACTACCACAGTACCTGTGTGGAGCCTCATGATTAAAATTTCTGACTGAAGAAAATTTGTAATACTTGGCAGTTTACCTAAAAATTCGGATAGGTTTTTCAGTATTAGTATTTTCTTTATGGTCAGTAAAAAAAAAAAGTAAGATTCATGTGAAATTGACCTAATAGGTCCTCAGCAAACACACACGCACAGTTTTATAAAAATTCAATACACAGGAAATTCTAGTCAGAACAGGGTAATACACTTACCAATCTTCGTAGTGATCAAAGCTTTGATGTCATTGTTTACTCTTTGTAGGGCTATATTTTTCTCAGAAAAAAAGAAGAAAGGAGAATAAAAAAAGAGACTGTCTTTCTTCAAAGCCAGTAGCTATTACATATTTTTTTCCTAATCCATGTGGAGTATAGCGGTAAAGAATTCATAATTTCCTTTAAGAATTGACGTTTGTAGTTAGAAATGCCTTGCAATTAGCAGATACAGATAGGTGAATCAGATTAATAAACGTGCTAAGGTTCATTATTTTTCCACTGGTAGCTCCCAGATTAATACAACAACAAAAATTAAGGAAGTTGAATTTTTTTTTATTCTGTGCTTAAATTAAGAGAGTCATACATTATTGATCTGGATACATTTGCAAAACCTACGTGATGTACCCCTGGTGAAGCCCTGTGAAATGTGACCTCTGCACATTGCTAAATTGTACAAAACTTCGAAATAAAACATCAGTATCTCTAATATGTTTGCCAAAATAATGAATCATAGTAGCTGCTGTCGGTAAGTTAACAGCCAGTGACGTGTGTTCCTTTTGCTTTCCTTTAACGTTAGAGCAAGTGGTTGGAATCTTTATCACCAAAACCAAACTACTGGGAGCATTCTCATCCCTGGGACAGTTCGTGACTCACACGCTGATCTCAAAAGGGCTGTGATGGGCATTTACCATTGACTCAGTTACAGCGTGTCAGGATCATGAATAAAATATATGTTCTCCCCCACTTCTCTTCTTCCTTCAACCTTTTTTATAACCCCACTTCCTTTCTCTAGCTTGTCAGGGTGGAGGTGGCAGAAGGATTCATTGCAAAGTTGGCAAATATAAAGAATATTCAAATTTTGGGGCAAGTTGCTACCTGTACCACTTAAGCAATTTTTTGTTTGTACCATGAGGATGTTCATGCTTACAGGATGTGTGAGCCCTTACTGAAATATGTTAAGGCATTTAAAAATAGTTTTTTAAATTGTGAAATAGTACATGTTCACTGCAGAATTTTTTTTTAACTAAAACAGTAAGCAGTATAAAGAACAAAAGAAAAGCAATGCATCATTCTACTACCTAGAGATTACCACTAACATTTTGTAATAAAAAATACATAGACCATTTTGTATCCTGTTTTTTCCACTTCATCTTATAGTTAGTCACTTATCCTAAGTCACTAACGAAGTTTTATTTATTTTATTTATTTTAAACTGCAAAACACCACGTAATGCCATGCAAGTTTCATACACCTTTGCTATATTCTTCAATCTTCAGTTCTGAGACTGAGAGAAAACTAATGCATTACTAAGGGAACTTGAAGAAGCTATTTCCTTGGCAATTTTCAGGACAGTGTGAATCCTCCATACCTGAACTGACCATCTAGTTTGTTGAATTGAGTTGGACTTTCTGTTTTCAAGTTCATATCAGACAGAGAAGCATCTTCAAATTTTACTTTAAATTTCCTAAGCATTTCACCAAGCAGTGTGGGCAGTGGGTTTTCTGAACAGCAGCTCCGTTAGAGAAGGGCTATTTTGTGGAAGTTTTACAATCCGATGAAAGAACTTTCTTTTGTGAGCTATTAGCAAGATGAGGAAATTAGAAAATTAGTTTAAAAAGGCCATATATAATTTATGGATGTTGAAATAAGATATTGGGGGTATCTAAAGTCAATAGGGGCAGAGGAATAGAATAGTTCTATACAATTTACATGGAATGCCTAGACATTTCTTTACCTTCTACTGTTATTAAAGCAGCAGAAGTGATGGTCTGAGAAAGAGAAACCCGTTGGGTTATGCCTTGGTGGTAATAAGCATAGATGTCACTGAAGAGGCACTTGGTCAGTGTCCTTTGGGGTCCAATGTTCACAGTTTTCTGGGATCCCACATCACACCAGCAAGAGAGCATGCCCTTGTAGCCTATATTTAAACTTGGCACCTGCCGCGAACACCCCTGGCAGGGCCTTGGAATCAGTGGTGCAGCTGTTAATTTCCACAACTTGCTTTAGTCACTAGCAGGCTGCTGCCAGATTGAGAGGCCGAATGCCATAGGATAAAAGAAATATCAGAGCACAGAGACCTGGAATGACAGGCTAGTCGGACCAAGTTGCGTCATAATTTAGTTCTTCGGTTTGGGCCTATAAGTGTGACTGACCATAGGGAAACAGCAGGCACTGAAACAGTCATCCTTTATCAAAGTCTAGCAGCTGAGTTCCCACTGTGTGACAGAGACTTTCCATTTTCTGGGGATGTTGTGGTGAACGACATAGAAGATATCCTTGCTCTCTTAAGTATGTAACCAACCATATAATCAACATG